GTGCCGAAAGGGAGGACGCCTTCCGAGATTTGTGTCTAGCAGCACAAGAAGGAGTTACTTTGCCCAGCACCACAACAGACCGGCTGGTTGTGTACAGGGATGAAACTAGTGGGTTGTTACTGTGCGGAGGCCGAATACAGTATTTCAAAGAAGACTGCTGGGCTGTTCCACTAATTCCCTTTGACACCTGGCTGGGTACTCTACTAGCACGCCAAAGTCACCAGGAAGGGCATGAAGGGCTTGCTGGGACTCTGTTAAGAATGCGGCAAAAGGCTTGGGTCATACAAGGTAGAAGGCTGGCCAGAAAGTTGTCAACCAGTGCATTCACTGTCGGAAGGTTAGAGCTCAAGTATGCAACCAAGTAATGGGTGATCTACCAGTAGAAAGTTCAAGACCCACTGCCCATTCCAGTTTACTTCTGTTGACTTGTTTGGACCATATCTGGTGAAAGAAGGCATCAAAAGAAGAGTGTCCATGAAGGTCTGGGGCATCATCTTCTGCTGCATGGCAAGCCGGGCACTGTACGTAGATCTTGCCAGAAGTATGTCCACAGAGAGCTTCTTAATGGCCTACCAAAGATTTGTTGCCATCAGGGCCATCCCCTTAAGGTTTGGTCAGACCCTGGGACTAATTTTATTGGGGCAAGATCTTTTCTGAAGGATTTGTATGCCTTTCTGCGAAGCCAAGATACAGTAAGCCTGGAGGAGTATGCTGCAAAAAGTGGGACAAGCTGGACGTGGAAAGTGCTCCCTGCTGATTCACCACATCGAAATGGAGCTGCTGAAGCTGGCGTTAGGGTTGCAAGAGAGCTCTTCAAAGTTTAAGCAAATCGGCAAATCTTACTTTCAGTGAGTTCCTGACAACCCTCCATTTGGCAGCTAATCTGGCTAATCAAAGCCTCCTCTAGATTTAGGAAAAGGGGGGTCATGGGGGGACAACTGGCAAGCAAGGCCTACGTCAATTTCCGGCAATTCACGGCAGTTTTGGGTGTTGCCTGTAAATTGCCGTGTGCAGTCGTAAACCTGAACTTCCACGACAATCTACAGTGCCGCTTACTGACGAAAATCCCACTTTTCATGCAGTGGAGCGGCCAATTTATGCAAGAATCCAGAGTCGCGAGGACCGCATTGAGTATGTATCACCAAACTCGCTTCTCTTAGGGCGAGCATCTCACAATGGCGACTTCAAGTCTTTTGACTTTAACAACTACCCCTACAAGCGCCTACGTGAAGTTCAAGCCCAGGTTAACGAGTTTTGGAAAGCGTGGTGCCAGCTTGCTGGCCCAAGTCTTTTCGTTAGAACCAAATGGCACACTACGGAAAGAAATGTCGCTGTTGGGGATGTTGTTTGGCTTTGCGACCAGAACGCTCTGCGGGGTCAGTTTAGGCTTGGCAGAGTCGTTTTTGTAGCTCCAGACTCAAAGGGCATTGTGAGAGATGTTGAGATTCTTATCACACCAGGAAATTGTTGCTCAGTCCAGTATCAAGAGCCAGCGACCCAGTCCTTAGTTCCTAGTGACCAGGCTAAGAGGTCTAATGGAGTGATATTGCGCAGAGATGTCAGACGACTTGTAGTACTTTTGCCTGTAGAGGAGCAGTCTCTGTAGTGATTAACTTAAAGTTCTGCACATTTCCATCCAAGAACAAAAAGGTTGAGTGGGAGGTGTCGCGGCGAATGCCCTTTTTCGTCAGCGATCAGGTGGAACAAATTATCACTCACCTGTGGGCAATCAAGCAGGAAAGACACGCACATTTCCTATGCAGTGTGTCGGCTAGTACCAGCAACGACGCCAGTAAAGCGCGAGAAAGGAAAGCGGCTTTCTAATCAGACTTCACTAAAGCTGTGCAGATATGGTGCCAAATCAAAACACTGAACAGACAGCCGGTAAGATCGCCACTTAAATCAGACTTTGTTGCACGCTGATGAGGCGTTGAGGTGCGAGTGGAAGAAGGCATTCATGTTTGTGCGCTGTAGTAGTTGTGTGTTGTAAACATTTACGTGGTATTTACGGAATCACATAATTTAGTGATTCAATTCTGATATGTACTCAGATATACGGGATATTGTTGGCTTGTAAAGACATGGTTTAAAGTCGTGCATGGTCCTATTTTTATATAACATTAAAATGGAAATCAAAAAGAAAAAAAATAAATAAGTAAATATTTAAATGTTGGAATAGTAGTTTGTACAATTTTTAAAGGGAGTGATTATGTACTGAAAATATTTTGTATGGGTAAAAAATGTGTTAAATTCACTGTTTGGATATTTAAATACTCATGCAATTCATTATGCCTCCTGTAGTTTAAATAGTAATTTAATGTTTGTGATGAATTTAAACTCTAATGGTTCATGAAGAAATTTGTGTATTTGTATTTATATATGTGTCTAGTGCCGAGTTTAATAATTAATCATTTTTGAGCTCTGTGTGTCTGTTTTTACCACAAACATGCAAAATAGTAAATCGTTGGTGTTTTCTGGTTTTGAAGGTTTTTCACCTGTAATGTCTGGGCTTCAAGAAGTGATGACAAATAAAAGAAAAGGACAAAGATCCAAATTGAGGCCTGGTTATTGAGTGAAACAGTTGAATGTTCAAGATTGGTACCTCCCTATCAAGTGAGGGTTAAGCACAACTAAATGAGAAATACACTTGACAATAAGAAATCACCCTGTGTCGTTTGTGTCACACATGTCTCATGCAACAAATAAAAAGGAAAAGTTGGCTATACACTGCCCACCTCTGTATCACTGCTTTATGCAGACTCTTCTGTAGACCTTTCTGTACATGTGGACTCCTGTCAGAAATAATAGGCATAGCACATGTATAAATCAATTAAAGTTATTTATGCACTTGCAGGTAGATATTTATGCACTTGCAGCTACTTGCTCCAAAGGACGGTCATCTGAGAAGGTTTCTTCTCTCTCCAGTGCAATGTGATTAATAACTCATAGCAAAATATTTTTACATTAACATAAGTTTATCAGTTTTTACTTTCACAAATCAAAGCAATTTATCATTACTCAAGATTTAACAGTTGACATGACTATACCAGCCAATTTGGATTAGGCCTACTTAATTTAATGCAGCAACAAATTATTTCATAGTGTACTAAGATAATTTAAATCTCATTTACCAGTAATGAAGGTGTTGCTGCTACTGGTCCCTGGATGTGGGTCTGGAAGTGCTGAACCCAGGGATGCCCTTCACAACAGGTCAATTCACATTCTGTAGGCTGTAGCTGAAGTCAATTGCGTTTCTCTTTCCTTCAGTGATTCTGCTTGTTAACAGCAGGTGTTCATAATTAATGCTCAATCACCACCTAATTATCTCATTAACTTCAACACTGCTTCAATGGTACTTTAACTCTGTAGTGTGCACACATATGAACACTGAGCAGTAATTTAATATGGGTGTTTTTCTGGGTACTATTACATAAATCTTACCCGTTTCATTTACGTATGACTGACAAACATGAATCACATTCAGTTTATAATAAAATTATCTAAATCTTATGTGTTTCATTTATATATGACTGAAAAATATAAATCACATTCATATTATTAATCGGTTTATGTTAAAACTATGTAATCCAAATGGATGGAAATTTGACACAATTCAAATACATAAATCTTATGATTAGACATCAATTTTTATTTATTTTTTTAATGTATTAGAGAAAACTATTACAAATAGAAAATGGTGTGATTTTCCAAAAACAGTGCCTGGATCACTGAGTCAAAGCAAAGTTTGAGCAAAATGAGTCACACACCCAGAACGCGTTTCTGATTGGTTAAAAAAACACGGTCTGCTCACCAGGGGCCTCATGTTCAAAGACTTGCGTTGAATTCATACTAAAATATTGCGTACGAAAAAAGCTGTAAATGTGCGTACGCACAAAAAAAAAAAAAACAGGGGCCTCATGTATAAACGTTGCATACGCACAAAATGGGGATAGAAATATGCATACGCATTTTTCCACGCGCACATCGGGATTTATAAAAAATAAACTTGGCGTAAATAAGTGCGCACCGTAAGGATGCTCTTGACCGTGCGTACGCACTCTTTTAGAAGATTATGGGTTTTGGCGACACCGATGGTGAGCTGGAGTCAAATGTCTTTTTGCTTACTATTAGACAGAGAATCTAAAGAAAATTATACATCTACAGAAAGATAATACAAATATAATTTCACAAACCTATCATCACTTGAAGCAAACATCCATCCCTTCTTAAATGACCGTGCCAGCACACGCGTTGGGCCGTTTGGTGAAACTAACTGACTCACATATAATATAGCCTATAATCTAACGGCAGATAGAGTAAATCTTCATTATGAGTCCAAATCATAAATACAGTCCATATTCATAATAACAGTTTAAATAAATAATAAAATGGTTTAAACTATGTTTTACTTCTGATATAAACATTTAGATTAAATATGCCATTCTCATTAATGGAGTTAAACTCTTAAACTACATGCAATCATTACTGAGAAGTTACAATATATACAGTATACATATATATATATATATATATATATATATATATATATATTCAATAAATAGAAATATACCTATTTGTTGTGGATGCATTGCTTTTGAACACTTTTCTTCTGGCATGTGTTTTAATGTTTTAACTAGAGATTGTCTGAGAAAACTGTTTCGTGCAAATAATGCACAACCATGTCTATCTCTTTCCATTAAAATATAAATCAATTAAAAATACTATTTGGCCAGTGGAAAAGATTGAGAAAAACTTTCTCTGAAATGTATTTAACACTATTTGATTTATTCATTCAAAAACAAGGCAAGGATATAGGCTACTAAAAAAAAATGTTTGTAATAATGTGACGGCACATCCGCATTTCATATTTTCCTAACGTCTTGTACCGTTAAACTTGGTATCACGTGGATGAATAATCATATGCAAATGATATGCAGATGAGGACATGCATATTTAAACTAGGCGTTGTAATCTCCATATATGGTTATTTCGGGGAGGAGACGCACGTGCGCATAATCTCCCGCTGACTGGGATTTATAAAGTGAATTCTGTGCAGGTTCTGGCGTACGAACGGTTTTATAAATCTGAAAACTTTTGTGCGTACGCAAATTCTGCCTTTTGTGCGTACGCACACTTTAAGGATGAAATCTACGCAAAGTTTTATACATGAGGCCCCAGATGTATGAATCTCTGCGTACGAAGGATCCCACGCATATTCTCTTTGTACATCCCAATTAACGTAAAATTGAGCGCACTTGCACGAGCAAAACGCCCCACCCAGTCTCCTCCCCAAATTAAATTAATTTAAATATGGTAATTAGTCCAATTTGGTAAAAGAAACCTGCAAGAACATGGCTAAAGCAAGCAAAAAACGAAATTTCACTGAAAATGAATTAGAGGTGCTACTATCAGAGGTAGAAACAAGAAAAAATGTTTTATTTGGAACTTTGTCCTCTGGAATTAATAACAAAAGAAAGAAAAAAGAATGGGAGAGTTTGTCTGAAGCTGTCAACCAGGTGGGATCTGAGAGTCGCACCGTAAATGAACTTAAGAAAAAATGGTCTGACATAAAGGTGGAAGTTAAGCGGAGAACTGCTGCGCACCGACAAAGTGTGGGCAGAACAGGCGGTGGTACAGGGGCCGATGAACTTACACCCTTTGATTAGAGAGTTGCCTCTATTGTAGGAGACACGTTAATCTCTGGAATCGTGTCCGTTGATGTGGGAGACTCGGATATGATACAGGACTGCCAGCAAGGTGACTAATTTAAAATTTATTTTTTTAAACTTGGATACATACTAGCCACCATTTAATTTTAAAATGCATGCAATGTACCAAAAAGTACACCAGAGATTTTACGTATCCATCCACTGCTTTTATTGCAAATGCGTGTACCCATTAATAAGGAACAGATTCAAATTACTGTTAACATGTGCCTTTGTTTATTTGCACTTAGGAACCACAGGAACAACAGCAGGAACGTCCACTGGCACGCACTCAGAGTCCGCACCACCCGAGCAGCCAGAGCCCATTCAGTCCAGCGTCTCCGGTGTCTCTAATGCTCCCCCCAGTGCTGAAGCCCGTCCATCTGGCCGCATCTTAACGCATGCTGTTCTGGAGTCACAACAGCAAATTGTTAGGGCCATTGGAGAAATGAACAGTCACCTGAAAAATGTCACTCACAGAAATAAGCAACTCATTAAAGCAATTGGTCAAAAAATGAACTTTGTGTCTGAGTACCTTTATATTGTTGCAATTACATGTTGACGGGCCTGAATGGCTTGTTGATTGTGCTGCACATATACTGGTCCTGGGTCAGGGTCATCTGGCAATGCCACCACCTCACCAAGGGGTATGCCATGCCTGTGCGCGACATTGTGCAGCACTCCGCAGGCCAGTATGATGCGGCAAACCTTGTCAGGGCGGTATAACAGCATTCCCCCGGTCCTGTCAAGGCAGCGCCACCGACATTTCAGCTGCCCAATTGCTCGCTCCACAACTGACCGAGTGCGAGAATGGGCATCATTGTATCTGCGCTCTCGCTCAGTTTGTGGGTTGGTGAGGGGGGTTAACAGCCACGTCTTTAGTGGATAACCACTGTCTCCTGATGGGCAGTTGAACAATCACACACACACATTTAACTTTTAGATAGAACCATACATTTAAATGCATAACTTACCAAGTAGCCACCCATCGCGCACCCTGCCAGCTTGGAGTCTCATCCCAACCATGCTGTTTGTAAGGATATATGAATCGTGGGTTGCCCCAGGCCACCTTGCCACAATATTTGTAAGGGGCATTTGTGCATCACATATAATCTGCACATTTATTGAATGAAAATGTTTCCGATTCACATATGCAAATTCTTCTTCAGATGGCGCCCTTATAGCAATATGTGTGCAGTCGATCGCTCCGATTACATTAGGAAAACCGGCTATCGCTGCAAATTGCGCTTTAATGTTTGGCTGGTCACCTGCATCGTATGGGAACATTATATACCTGGTAGACAAACGGATGATCCCGTCCCATACAGCTGGCATTGCACGGCTCAAACATGACTGGCTTATTCCTGAGCGGTCTGCCAGTTCTCTTTGAAAAGAACCAGTTGCCAGGAAACCAAGTGTAGTAAGCACCTGTAAAGGAACCGGTAATGCGTGGCTCCTCATTGTCTCTCTTTCTAAATTCGGACCCAACTCAGCGCAGAGCTCCAAGAGAATAGCCCTTGGAAATCTGAAATGGCTGATAAGCCAGTCATCATCGTGGGCCAGAAAATCATTGTAGTCCCTAAAAATTCATTCTCTCCAGATTCGTCCGTTCAAAATGTCCTCTAATAAAGCCAACGCTGCCATTGCTAGACGGGTTGTATCAATTTGCACACGCTTTATATATGTTCTTACTTAATTGCATAATTAATAGAATATTTTAAGACTCGTGTGACAATAATATGTAAAATAATTTATCAATTACAAATTATAAGCAATATCTGACAGCTGGTGATGCGATAGAACAATTCTTAGTGTAATGTTTGCCACTTCACTTTATTGCCTCTATGAGTCGCCAACGGACAAAAATCTCGACAAATGTACATACGCCAGACATGAAGTTTACTTGGAGGAACGCACATTCTTACGTTAATTTCACTGTTAGTACATCTGACCGTGAACGTGAAAGCTGGTGTACGCCGTGTTTTTGTGCGTACGCAGTGTTGATACATGAGGTCCCAGGGGTCTCATTTATAAAGCGTGCGTACGCACAAAAAGGGCTGGAAACGTACGTACGCCAGTTTCCACGCAAAGTTTGTGATCTATAAAAAAACTTGACGGTAGAATGTACGCACCAGTAAGCAAACTTTGAGCCGTGCGTACGCACATTCTGGAGACAAAGGGAATTGGCGACACCGATGGTGAGCTGGAGTTAAATGACTTTTTGGTCACTTTTAAACGGAAAATCTATAGCCTATATTATAGCCTATCTATAGGCTACAAAAAGAAAATAGTCTACAAATAAAATTTCACTCACCAAGCCAATCACTTGAAGCCAGTATCCATCCCTTCTTAAATTTCTGAGCCAGCACGCGCGTTGGGCCGTTTAGTGAAACTGGCGCACATAATCTAACGGCAGATGAACCGTAAATCTTCATGAGTAGGCTAATACAGTGCACATTCTCAATAACAGTTTAAATAAATAAAATAATGATTTAAACTATGTTTTACTTCTGATATAAACATTTAGATTATATATGCCATTTAATGGAGTTAAAGACTTAAACTACATGAAATCATTACTGAGAAGTTACAAAAAAAATATATATTCAATAAATAGAAATATATATTTGTTGTGGATCCAATGCTTTGAAACACTTTTCCTCTGGCATGCAGTGTTTTAATATTTTATCTAGAGATAATTGCTAATCAAGATAATAGATTGTCTGAGAAAATAGTTCCATGCAAATAATCCACAACCATCTGTTTCCATTAAAAATATAAATTCATTAAAAATACTATTTGGCCAGTGGAAAAGATTGAGAAAATCTTTCTCTGAAATGTATTTTACACTATTTGATTTATTCATTCAAAAAAAGGCAAGGATATAGGCTACTAAAAAAAAAATAATAATAATAATTTATTGTGACACGGCACATCGGTATTTCATATTTTCCTAACGTCTTGTACGTTAACATGGTATCACGTGGATGAATAATCACATGCAAATGATATGCAGATGAGGATATGCATAGTAAAGCTAGGCGTTGTAAACTCCATATATGGTTATTTCGGGGAGGAGACGCATGTGCGCGCATTCTTCCGCTGACTGGGATTTATAAAGGGAATTCTACGCAGGTTCTGGCGTACGCACGGTTTTATAAATCTGAATATTTTTTGGCGTACGCCATTTTTGGCTTTCGGGCGCACGTACACTTTTAGTAAGGATCCTACGCACAGTTTTATAAATGAGACCGTATATACAATTATTTGATGTATAAACGTTGCGTATGCACAAAATGGGCATAGTGTCATGTAGTGGAAGGATGAACCCAATTGCAGACAGCAAGTAACTCAAAATAAGGTTTTATTAATGACAAAAACAGAAAACAAAACCCACGATGGGGCAAAACAAGAACAGGTAGCAAACACTAAACTAAGACTCAGGTAATAAACTCACAGACAAGACTAGATACACACTTCTTACAAGATGATCAACAGAGAACTTACAGCTAGACTCACACGAGGTTTGACAAGGTAAGGAAGAAAATGTACCGACACAGGACAGCAAACACAAGAAGATTAAATAGGGAGAAACTAATGAGGGAAACAGCTGACTCTAACAGGGCAATAATGACTAAACAAGGATAACAAGGGGGCGGGGTTATGAGACGAGACAACGCAAGCACACAGCCCAAACAAATGGCCATGTGCTTACACAGAAAACATGGTTCTGCCATGATCCTGCCACAATACTAATAAAAATCAGCGACGTGATGGCAGAATCATGACAGAACCCCCACCTTAAGGAGCGTCTACCAGACGCTCCTCAAATGGACACTAAGCACAAGACAAGACAGAACGAGACATAGACAAAAACCAACAGAACATAGCAAACGTCAACATTGGCAAACATGAAAAAACTATAACAGGGTTCGGGTGAAACAATAAAAATAACAAACACGGGAGGGGGGGCGGGGGAACAAAGGAGTTCATGGGGGAAGGTCCAGGGTGGATGGGTGGACTAGGGGTCTTGGGCTTACGGGACGAGGGCTGAGGGCGAGGAATCCGGGCAGACTTGGATGGGGACACATGAGGCACAGTCTTAGGGGAGACAGTCCGGGGTGATGTGGTGACAGGGGTGACCGGGGAAACGCACAGGGGCACAGAGGGTGAAGAAACAGGAAACCAGACCGGGGGAACAGCAGGGGACATATCAGGACACATGACTGGGGATGTTGCAGGCGACCGGGGAGTGTTGAGAGGCAAAGCTGGGCTCTCAGATTCGGTTTCAGAACCAGCTCTCTCCATAGCAGACTCGGACACATCGTTCTCTGCAGAAAACTTGGTAATTGCACTCTCTGCTGCTGGCTTGGGAGCAGTGCTCTCTACAGCTCTTGGCACAGGGTCTGGGGACAAGACAGGGACTTCTAAGATCTGGGCAAGACGAGACAGGTATTTGGACAGGGCTCTTGCAGCAGTAACAATTGGTATCTCCTGATTAGCTGAAATAGAGCGAATAACAGCCTCAGCAGCAGAGTCGATCGCCTCCCTCTCTGCAGCACTCACAACTGTAGACTCTGGGACGGCGCCTGCTGGAGCGGGCTCTGGGACGGCGCCTGCTGGAGCGGGCTCTGGGACGGCGCCTGCTGGAGCGGCCTCTGGGACGGCGCCTGCTGGAGCGGGCTCTGGGACGGCGCCTGCTGGAGCGGGCTCTGGGACGGCGCCTGCTGGAGCGGGCTCTGGGACGGCGCCTGCTGGAGCGGGCTCTGGGACGGCGTCTGCTGGAGCGGGCTCTGGGACGGCGCTTGCTGGAGCGGGCTCTGGGACGGCGCTTGCTGGAGCGGGCTCTGGGACGGCGCCTGCTGGAGGACAAGAGGCTCCCTTCTTCCTCCTCCTCTTCCTTCTGGGTCGCGGAGCTGAGTCCGTAGCCAGGCCAGAGAACGGTAAGGGGGGCAAAGAGGGAGACGAAGCAGGCGCTGGGAAGACCACCGCAGGCAAGGGGGACTCCGTGGAGGATGACTCCGACGCGGACTCCCACGACAAACGTCTTCCACGCTTTCCACGGGGGCTGACGAGCACGGGTGGTGGGTTGGGAGTCAGGGTGGAAGAAGATTAAGATTAAGAGATTAAGATTCAACTTTATTGTCATTACACAAGTACAAGTACAAGGCAACGAAATGCAGTTTGGGTCTAGCCAGAAGTGCAATAGCAGCAAGTGCAGGATATCAGTGCAGTGGTTCCATAAGTGCAGTACATGGATATGTACTGAATCAATATAGAGTGAATACTAATTAAAAACAATTATTTTTCCAAATAAATTAGTTCTATGAATATAATATACAAATAACTATTATTGTAAGCAGAGTTTACAGCTAGATATGTACAGAATATTATATAGTATATGCAGATGAATATCACTATCAACAGAATTTTTACAAATATGTACAAAAAATAATATACAGATAGTTATTACTATAAGCAACAGTGGATCAGTGAGGGTTAGAGTTCAGTAAAGAAACAGCTCTGGGGAAAAAGCTGTTCTTTAGTCTGCTGGTCCTGGTCCGGAGGCACCTGAAACGCCTACCGGAGGGCAGGAGAGAAAACAGTCTGTGGGCTGGGTGAGAGGAGTCCTTAAGGATGCCACGAGCTCGGTGCAGACAGCGTTTCTTTTGGATATGCTCGATGGCAGGTAGTGGAGTCCCAATGATGCACTGGGCAGTTTTCACCACCCGCTGCAGTGCCTTGCGCTCTGCAACAGAGCAGCTCCCATACCACACTGTAACACAGTTGGTCAGAATACTTTCTATTGCACAGCGATAGAAGTTCACCAGGATAGTTGAGGAAAGCTGATTCTTCCTCAGTGTCCTCAAGAAGAAAAGGCGCTGGTGAGCCTTCTTGACAAGGCAGGAGGTGTTGGTTGTCCAAGACATGTCCGCCGAGATGTGGATTCCTAAGAACTTGAAACTGGAGATACGCTCAACAGCCATTCCATTGATGTGGATGGTGTCGTGTGTGCCTCTTGACTTTTTTCTGAAGTCCACGATGAGCTCCTTCGTTTTGGTGGTGTTGAGGAGCAGGTTATTCTCAGTGCACCATGTGGCCAGGTGCTTGATCTCCTCCCTATAGGCAGTCTCATCGTTGTTGCTGATGAGACCAATCACCGTAGTGTCGTCTGCAAACTTGATGATGGAATTAGATTCGTACACAGGTTTGCAGTCGGAGGTGAAGAGGGAGTAGAGAAACGGGCTTAGCACACAGCCCTGTGGTACACCAGTGTTGAGTGTGATGAACGTGGAGCAGGTGGAGCCAGATCGAACATTCTGGGGTCTGTCGGTCAAAAAGTCCAAAATCCAGTTACACATGGAGGTGTTGATACCCAGGTCTCCGAGTTTGGCTATTAGCTTAGTTGGGATGACAGTGTTGAATGCTGAGCTGAAGTCAACAAACAACATGCGTGCATAGGTGTTCTTTTTGTCCAGATGTGTGAGCACAGAGTGCAGTGTCATGGAAATTGCATCCTCTGTGCTCCTATTGCTACGGTAGGCAAACTGATGTGAGTCCAATGT